TGCTGGAGTGCACGGAGGGAGTGGTCCTGTGGAACGATACCTGCAAGATCCCTATGACTTGATAGAACAGCAGGATATCTGAGGGGAGTTTTGGTGAAGGTCCAGTGATGATGATATGCCAGAGTCCAGAGGCCTTGAACCAGACCAATGACTCATTGCAATGAACATTTTGTGGGTGGGGCTGGTTGGACACAAGGGTGTACTGTGTGACACACCAAAGCACTCAGTGTCACTGGGGAGAATGAAGTGTTGGAAAGATGGAAGAACCAGGTGGATTTGTTTTGTTTGTTTTGTTTTGTTTTAAATTGATTTAGGGGGAGTTTCAGGGAGGGGTACTTCAGGGGTGGGTGGAAGATATAGAGGGACTGGGAGGTGAGTGGGATTGGGGTGCATGATGTGAAATTCCCAAAGAATCAATAACACTGATTAGTGTTTGCTTGTTATAGAAGTTTTTCATATTTTAATTTATTGTCTTTCTTTGTCCCTTTATTTAACATCTCTCATTTGTAATTCACATACACCTACATTTTAAACACAGCCTGATAAATTTGCCTACACTATGTCATATTCAGTGCATGTGATGGAGCTCCTGGCTGAGCTGTGTTTAAATAGTCCATCTAACTATGAGCTCCCATCTTAATACTTCTTCCTCTGATTCCCTTCTGTTTTCTCTCACTTTTAATAATGCCATATTTTTCTTACAGTATTTCTTTCTCACTATGTAGTTGCTTGTTTGTATATTACCTTCCTATCATTAGAGTGGATATTTTAAAGCTACAACATGCACTCTCAATTTATAACCTTCAATACAAATTAATATCTCACTTTCCTGGAAGAGTCCAAAGGGCCTCTTTTTACATCTCCTTCAGAATGGGATTAACTGGTAACAAACGGTTATGTTTTCTAAAAAATTTTATCTCATCCTGGGTTTAGGTACAATAAATTCTGCCAATTTTAAGTGTATAATGTATTGAAATTTAGCAGATATTTCATTTAGGTAATTATTGCCATGATGACAATATAAAGTATTTCCATGTCCCCTGTGCCCTTTTTTCAGTCAATCCTCTTTGCCCAAATCTGATTAACAAATAATTATCAATATGCTTTGTGACACCAAAGTGGTCTTTTCTGTGAAGTCATACACACGTCATCATACAGTCTTATGCCTGGGTTCTTTCACCCAGCACAGTGCCCTACAAGTTGCATTCCCACCAGCAATGGAGGGGTGTTCTTCTTATTCCACATCCTCTCCAGCATGAGCTGTCACTTGTGTTTTTGATCTTAGCCATTCTGACAGGTGTAAGATGGAATTTCAAAGTAGTTTTGATTTGCATTTCTCTGACGGCTAAAGATGTTGAACATTTCTTTGTTTCTCAGCCACTTGAGATTCCTCTACTGAGAATTCTCTGTTTAGATATGTACCCCATTTTTAATTGGATTATTTGGTTTGTTGAGTCCTTTATATATTTTGGAAATCAGCTCTCTGTCAGATATGGAGTTGGTGAAAAATCTTTTCCCATTGTGTTGGCAGCCCAAAGTGTCTCTTTGACTTACAGGAGCTTTTCAGTTTCATGAGGTATGGTTTATTTTTTTTCAGTTTAGCTTTTTATTAAATCAGTCAAAGTGACATATTTTTACACAGTATGAACAAATATTCTGTGACATTTCCCCCCTTTTGTCTAAATAAAAAAGAAAGATCTTAACTCTAACGTAATAAACCTATAAACAATAAGAACAATTATCAGGTAAGAATTACATTCACAATGTCCAATCCAGTTGTATTTGGCAGATTTAAAGAAAATACTCTATTATTTATCTTATCTTGGTCAGTACAAAGTTTTGTATCTGTTTTTTTTATGCATCAATAGCAGCAACATCCTTTCCAGGTTCTGCAGTCATTTGAGCAAAATTGTAGAGACATCCAGCACACTCCATTTAAAAAAAAAAAAACACCAAAACCCAAAAACAAACAAACAAACAACAACAACCACAACAAAAAAGTAAAAAACAAAATCCCAGAAAACAGCACACTTCTGTTAGTCTTGTGGTACTTGGCACCATTTTTTTTTTAAGTTAGCTTCTCAATCATCATGACATCCAGCACACTCCATTTAAAAAGCAAAAAACAAAAAACAAACAAACAG